TGCCTCTGCTTTCCAAGTGCTGGGATTAGAGGTGTGTGCTACTGCCCGGCTTCACTCAACCTCTTTTAACCTTAATATCTCCTTAAAAGTTGTATGTCCAAATAATTGGTGTGTATGTGCTGTATGTATGATGCATTTCTAGTAAAAAACCAATGTATTCTATATAAATAATTGTTTTTGAATTTATAACGTTACCGTGAAAACTTATTTCAGAAAGAAAAATGCCAACTTTATTATTTTCTTGCCAAATCTTTGTATTTAATTATATGTTGCAGTAATCTTTTAAAACTATTCTGCATGTCTGTTTTAGTTTATAGCAATGTTTATCCTGGCATAGATGTGCCAGATGCATAAGTTACAATTAAAGCAAGTGAGTGGGCACACCATAGCTAGCTTTGCACATTGACCTGCTAACTTTAACATTTTTGGTGTGCTGTTGAGTGAAGCCATCACTTTATTTTATATTTTGTTTTGAAATCCAGTTTCTTAGTAGTATCAGTGTTTCTGCTTGTACTTTATAGGGTCATTTTCCCACTCTGAGACCACTGATCTAAACATCTAAAACAAATGTGGTTCCTCCTGGGTAGAGGATTCTCAGTGCTCTCTTCATTAAGCTTTATATCTTAAATATTTTCTGGGTATTCAGGATTTTTGAAGATTTTAAAGCAAAATCCAGGCATTGTGTCTTTTTGTAAATATTTTAGTTCCTATCTCTAAAGGGAGTAGATTTTTATAAATGATAATAGGTGAATAACAATAACATCATACCTCAATATGGTTGTTACCTAGGCTTCTCTGGTCAATGAAATGTTTCCTGGCTTGCCTGTAAAAATGTAATTCACCTCTTTTTAGAAAGCGTTATTGAAGAACACTTCTCAGTGCACGTAGGCCGCATTCCTGCCCCTGCCCCCCCCCCCCCCCCCCGCGGAATAAAGTGTTGCATCTCAGTTGCTTCCATGCTTCCCAGGCCACGTTAGACAGGAATTCTGCTCATAGGGTTAATGTTGAAGCTGGAAGAAAGAGTGGGGAGTGTAGTCGGAGACTGCGCGTTCATTTTCTGGCTTCCCAGACCCAAAATAATCACACAGAAACTGTATTAATTACAACACTGCTTGGCCAATAGCTTACGTGTATTTTTAGCTAGCTCTTACATCTTAAATTAACCCATTCTTATGATTTTATATTTTCCTATGAGGCTCGTGGTTTACCAGTACCGGAGCATGGGCATCTTTCTCCTCAGGCACCTCTCTGACTCCACCTACTCTCTCCTCTGTCTGCTTAGAATTCCTACCTTGTCCTATTCTGTGCTGCAATAGGCCCAAAGAAAATTCTTTATTAACCAGTAGTATTCACAGCATTCAGAGGCGAACCCTGCATCAGGGGAGATTGCCCTAGTCAGCCATGAAAGCCAACCATGTATGTAGGTAAGCTGATGGGACAGATAGCCCTGGTGCTAAAGTAGGCTAAAGCAGGTGTTTTGTGGTGACCAGGAGCAAAGGGCAATACTATTCTTTTGTGTGTTTATCATTTTGCGCCAAGGCTTAGTCTGAGAAATAGTTTCTAGAAATTTTTTTTCGCTAGGTTATTGATTCGTATTTCTTGAGCGTTTTAAAAGGTTACACCTCCCTTAGTGTTTTTCTTGAATAAAAAAATTGAGAAGTACTAACTTTCTCTTCTTATCACCTAAATACCTTCTATAATCTTTTTCCTTTCCTAGACTCCAATGATCTTCCCACTTTACCTAGGATTACAAGACACTTGCCACCATACCCATTTTTCCTTTGATTCATTTTAAAAATACCTCCTTGAAGCTGGAGAGGTGGCTTTCAGGTTAAGAATACTGGCTGCTCTTCCAGTATTGAAGACCTGGCTTCAATTCTGAGCACCCATAGTGCCTCACAGCCATCTGTAACTCCATTTCTAAGGGATCTGATGCTCTCTTGTGCTCTCTGTGGACACTTCGCATGCACATGGCATGCAGACATATATGCAGGCAAAAACACTCACACATTAAATCAAATGATAGAATATTTAATACCTCACTCACAGCTCATAGCTATTGCTTTTAATTCTCCACCTTTGAAAGACCCCTTCTGGTTATGGTGACACCTGCCTATAACCCAAGCACTTAGAAAACTGAAGCAAGAAAACAGCAAGTTCTAGCCCAGGACTAAATGAGGCTAATCACAAATGATGTGTTCCAGGCCAGATTTAGCTTTATTCTAAGACTCCATTCCAAAAGGCAGACAAAGGCCAGGCATGGTGATGCATGCCTGTAGTTGGGATTTTTTGACTTGTTTGTTTGTTTGCTCTTTTGGAGCCTGCTACCCAGCTTCCAAATAAATATATGGAGACCTATTCTTACTTATGAATTCCTGGCCTTAGCTTGGCTTATTTCTAACTTAGCCAATTTTTCTAACTTAAATTATCCCATTTCTCTTTAACTATATTTGCCTCTGAGCTTTTTACCTTTCTTTATTCTAAATGTTTTTCTTCCCTTCTTACTTCATGGCTGCCTGAGTGGCTGGCCCTGGCATCCTCTTCTCCTTTTCTTGCTCTTTCCCTTTTTCTTTTTCCCACTCCTCCTATTTATTCTCTTTGCCTGCCAGCCCTGCCCATCCTTCTCCTCCCTAGCTATTGGCCTTCCAGCCCTTTATTAAACCAACCAGGCGTTTTAGACAGGCATAGTAACACAACTTCACAGTTAAACAAATGCAATACCTCTTAGCATCATTAAACAAATATTCAACAGCATGAACAAATATAACACATCGTAAACTAATACTCGACACACATGCCTTTAATTACAGCACTTGGAATGCAGAAGCAAGTGGATCTATCTCTGTAAGTTCAATACAACCCTGCTCTGCACAGTGAGTTCCAGGACAGCCAGAGCTACACAATGGAGAGACCCTGTCTCAAAAAGAAAAAGGAAGAAAAAAAAAGACAGATGAAATAAAGCCCATCATATTAGTCAGAATTCTCTAGAAGAAAAAGAAGTTTGTGGGATCCAAATTGATGACATTCCAACAGATACACACACACACACACACACACACACACACACGTATATACTATAATCTATGTAATATTTTATATATTATAAGGAGATTTATCAGATTATCTTACAGGTATGGTCTGGGTAGTCCAACAGTGTCTCATACTGGTGAGGCCATGAATCCAATAGCTGTTCAGCCCTCAAGGCTGGATGTCTGAGCACTCAATCTCAGTCTGGCACTGAAGACCTGGAACATCCCTAGAGAGCTGCTGGTCTTCATTTTATGCTGGATCCCAAAGAAGTTCATCCTACTATCAGTGAAGAAATAAATACAACAATAGGACAGATGAACTTGACTGAGGGCAAGCAGCACAAGGCAAAGCTTCTTGCTTCCATGTGCAGAGGTGCTGCTAACAGGCACGCCCAATGGCTTGCCTTCTTTTGGGTCCAGATCCAGTCAGGCTGACACCAATATTAACCATCACACCCACTGTCTTATTTTTAAGGGGAAAAATATTGCTTCATTTGAGCAGTCTGACGGTGTGATTATTCTTCACCAAGAACATTATTAGAGCTTTCTTTGTGGAGCTGAAAGCTCCTTATTGTTTTTATAAAACAGTAATGCGTCTTATAAATGTGCAGTTAGGATCTTCTGGGAAATACAATCTAGAGGGATACAATGAGTTTCTGAAATTCAGGATTGTAAGCAAAAGGCTTTGAATTAAAATTAACTGGTAGGTTTTGTGTTTTGTGTAGGGGGGGAGAGGTGGGGGCAGAGACTTTAAAAAGAGAATCAGAAGCAATGGTGAACTTATGGTCCATATTTTAAGAGACTGAATTTGGTAAATTTGGTATTTTGGATTTGTTTTAATTTTTTGTTTTTTGTTTTGTTTTGTTTTGTTTTTTTGTTTTTGATGCAGGGTTTTTCTGTATAGCTCTGACTGCCTGGGAACTCACTCTGTAGACTAGACTGGCCTTGAACACAGATATTCACCTGTCTCTGCCTCCCAAGTGCTGGGATTAAAGACATGTACTACCACACCTAACATGTGATTATATATGAAGTCATGCAATTTCCATTTTTAATGTGTATAACAATCCTAGAGAGTTCTGAGTGAAAATGTGTTGAAGGTTTAGGACGTGCCTGAGGATTTCGCTAGCTTATAGGCCTATGTAGCTTGTGAACATGAGTGCCTGTAACTTGAAGTACATGAGCAATAACCTCAAGATTATCTCTCTGATACAAAGTTGCTCATTTTAAGAAACTAATTGCTAAGGGGACCATGGGGATGGCTCAGCTGGTAAAGACACCTGCTGCTACCTGAACCCATGTGACAAAAGGAGAGAAATGATCCCCACAAGCTGTCTCTGACTTCCATGAGCATGCCGTGGAGCACATGCATGTGCGTGTGCACATAGCCAAAATTTAAAAATTTGAACCACATAATTAAGACTAGTTATTAAATTAGCTATTGGATCAGGTTAACTATTTCTTTTAGGTCTATTGGTCTTTCAAAAAGTCAGTTTCTCATTGTACTAAATCAAACCACAGTGATAATTTGTTTAAGTTTGTTTTACTTGGTGTTCCCCTTCCAGGTAAATAATAATACCAGACATTCAGATACTGTTTGAAGAGTTATCTACTGATTATTAATTTACTTAGAATTTCAAGATAATCTGCATATCTACTATATATTTCATAGTGACTAAGACAGCTGTGGGTCTGCAGAGTAAGTAGCTTATGATCCATGTGACAGAGCTTAGCAGTGCAGTGTGTGGCTCTGTGCCCTCCTATGCTTCCAGTTATTTTGACAGTAGAACTTGTGACATTTTTTTTAAAAAAGTGATTTAGGACATGAGGAGGTCAGGGTTTTTTTGTTATCCTTGTGTTTATCAGCCAACTCCATAGAATAGACATGTTACCTTTGATACATTAGTGGTTTTGTTTGTGGAACTTTCTGTTGTGACTAAGTTTGTTTAAATGTTAATCATTCTTTCCTAGGTGTTGGATCCTGAACAAAACCATAACTTCACAGATCACTATCTAAATGTGGCCTTTGACCTTTCCCAAGTTCTTTTCATAGCTACTGCCAACACTACTGCCACCATCCCACCAGCTTTGTTGGACAGGATGGAGATCATTCAGGTTCCAGGTACTTCATTCATAAGTTTATAGACACACACACACACACACACACACACACACACACACACATACACACTTTGGAGCATACCCTTTTAAACTGGTCATGTTATGGAGTTGGTTTGTCTAGAAGTTCATTTGTCACTGTGTAGTCCTCAGAGGTTCTGCACATGGTGTGTAAACTACCTTTTCTGAAGACAACATGAGTTTGTTTGTCTGCACCATGACAGGTAAGAGTCAGTGTGTGTTCAGAAGATACAAGCAAAAGTCACTGTGGACTTCACATTCAACTCTAGGCTGCCTTCAGGGATGATTAGAATGTCAGACATTCTCTGAAGCAATTCCCAAAATTACAGGCGAAAAGATTTCATTTCTGTAAAGCCAGTGTCTGAGACCCAGATACAGTTTCACATCTCTGTAAGGTTTTGAAGGCTCTCCCCTTTTTTGGAAAAGTATTACGCAGTAGTAACTCCTGGATACCTCTGGCCTCAGTCTCTCGGAGCTCACTCTTCCTGCAGTTGATTATGTCAGGTAGTCACACAGTTGTTGGTGTTTCCAGTCATGTCTCCTCCACACCGTAGTGCACAAAAATAGTCTTTTTAGTTATACTCAGGTCCTAACCTTTTCACTTTATTTAACTACTCAGAATTATTTTGTCTTAAAAGAGATCCAACATCAGAGAGTACTCACTGTGGTGAAAAATAGGGCAGACTGTAAATATACTCAAAATTGAAATGTAGCAATATAGTTTACATTCTAAATATAGTTTTACATTTTAAGTAAATGTTAATTGAATTTCTTAATTACCTGCAAGCCTTGTAGGTTCTTTTATTTAGTTTTAAAATGTGGTGGAGTGAAGTGTTGCTTTTTTGTATTTATAAGACTAAAGTAAACAAAGGACATTTAGTTGTTCAGAAACTACCAGTGAGTCCATGAGCTACACTGATGGAAGTGAGGTGACGGAGACAGTAGCTACAGCTGTGGATGCTGCCTTTTTCTTTGACAGCTGCCGTCCTGTCCTCTAGCCTGTGTGATGCTTTCAAGCCTTTTCTTCCTATCCGAAAGATGTGTTATCAACCCATGTTTATTAGACAGAGAGGGTACATTAGTTTAGGTGAGATTTTTTTTTCTTACAGAATTTAATCTCATTGGGGCTTCTTAGTCTATAAGAATGTAATCTTTTTATTTTTATAAAATATGAAGGTAAAAATCAAAACTGATTTAGTTTAAATTCCCTTATTCTGGTTACAGTATTAGTTGAAGTAATGCTTAAGCTCATTCTAAATCTCAGGTCTATTGAATCTGCATTTGATTTATTAAAAATTGTTGCGGGGGCTACAGAGATAGTTCAGCAGTCTAGGGCACTTGTTCCTCTTACAGATGACCAGTGTTTGGTTCCCAACCTCCACATAGTGTACCAACTGTAACTCTAATTCCAAAGGATCCTATACCCTCTTCTGATTTCTATGGACGCCAGACATGCACGTAGTACACCAACATACATGCAGTCAAAACATTCCTACACATAAAATAAAGAAAATAAATCTTAAAATCCAAACAAGATGTGACATTGTGGAAGTCTGGCGGGTAATTACAGAATTCTTCTTTTCCAGGGTACACACAGGAGGAGAAGATCGAGATCGCCCACAGGCACCTGATTCCTAAGCAGCTGGAACAGCACGGCCTGACTCCTCAGCAGATTCAGATCCCTCAACTTACCACCCTGGCCATTATTACCAGGTTAGTCATCTGGAAGATGGGGGTCCATGCACTGAAGAAACGTGTAACTGGCACCCTAGAGCATGAATTCCTCTAGCAACAGAAAACACTGCTGCAGCTGTGACTAACCAGAACGAGGAAGAATTTCATAGTGAAACCGTGTGGAACTGTCTTCATTACAAAGGGTCTTCACTGAACCAGAACTTCTACCTTGCCATAATAGCAAACTAAGGTTTAAATTAATAGATTAAGAACCAAACTCATAAAAATATAGAAGTGCTCCTTTATGCATATTCAAAACTAAAGCCAAAGCCAGAGGTGGCGACTCATACTTTTAATCCCAGCAGGAAGGCAGAGGCAGGTGATTCCCTTACTCCTAGGCCAGTTCTAGCTTGGTCTGCAGAACAAGGACCAGTACATCAGGGCTATACAGAGAAACCCTGTCACGGGCTGGGGACAAAAAAGCAAAACAACCAAGCAAACAAACAAACAAAAAGAACAAACCAAGCTGCTACTTTCAGACACCTTTTTTGTTTGCCTTTTTCTTTGAGAGAGTAAAAAAACTAAATACCAATCCTTGGAGTATTTGATGTTGAGATTTAACACTGGAGCAATAGAGAATGTGCTTTCCCAGATCTGCTGCCGCGTGCTTGCACCTGTGACAAGTTCCACATAAATCCTTAGGCTGCCATTGTGGTGCACGCCTTTAATCCCAGCACTAGGAGGCAGCGGCAGGTGGAGCTCTGTGAGTTTGAGGCCAGCCTGGTCAACAGAGTGAGTTCCAGGACAGCCAGAGCTGTGTAGAGAGACCCTGTCTCTCCCTCCGCCCCCTTCCAAATGAGTAAATTTATAGGTCATGTATTTGAATAAAAAATAGTCCCTGTTAGGAATTTATATTGACCATAGCCTCTTGCGGTTTTCCTGGCTCACTATTACAGATTGATTGCGTCATCCAACAACTTGAGTCTGCCAAGAACTCCAGCCAAAAGTAACCGTTGTTTTCAAGAAATGTGAAATTTCTCTCCATGCATGGCCCCTCTGACTGCCTCGTGGTCTGTGCCAACTTTCTTCTAAGTCTATCTAGTTATATACAGAAAGTAGGACTAAGTCTGACTCAAGAGTTCCTTTTTCCTAATTTGTTTTGACATAAACTAGGTGGATAATGCCAGAAGAAATAAACTGATTACCCAGAGTCTTCTAGCAGTGACTTCACTCTGGACTTGTAAAAAGCCGTTTGAACCTTTATGCTAGTGTCTACACCCAGCAAGGGGAGTGAGTGAGAAGATGCCTGGCTTGCCTACTTCTAAGAATGATGCTAAAGAGTTAATATTTGTAGTTCCCAATTACTGCCTCCTACATACTTGTTATCTCAAAATAGGAGATTGTAAAAGCTGTAGACATTAGGGACTTTCATAAGCAGTCTTCCTACTTTTAATTCTTAAAGACAATGCACAGCAGCAGACAGTGCAGTGGACACTGCTCTACTGAAGCTCCAGGCACTGAATTGCCAGACGCAGGAGACTGAAGATCACAGCCAGACCTTTTCGTCTGTTGCTGTGTACTGTAGTCATGGCCCTTGGTGTTCTTCTTCCCTCCCCTTCCTGTTTCAAGCTGATTTGAACCTTGTAGCTCTCAAGTACTTACTGAGCTCCACTTCCTTGTGAGAATCCTGAATGTCATTTGTTTTCATAGTCACTGTCCTATGAATCTATACTCCTATCTTATAGACATCTGAAGCCTAAGTATAATTGCTCTGAAACTTAATCCTACTGAAATTAAACAGAAGTACTTTCAGGTCTCCACACTATAAACAAAGCTCTTCTTCAAACTGAATGTTCATTACCACTTCTCCAGGGCAGAGAACACACATCAGTAAGAGAGTGTTTACATCCAGTGCACGAAGCCTTGGGTCCTGTCCCTAGTGTTGCCTCCCCCTCCCCACAGTCATTCTGTTGACTTGCTTTTAAGACTTCACTTTTCTGGTTAGTTGTCTCTAGAATGAACTGTGGAATCCTGCAGCCTTGCATCCAGCTCCATTACTAAACTGATTCAAGGGAAACCTCATTAGTTAATTTTTTCAAATTAACTTTATGCTTTAGGATGCAATGAAATGAATTCCTTGTGGTATTTTCATACATGCATATCTTTGTACTTTGTTCTTGCCTGCCCCTTTGTCCTCCCTCACTCTCCTTGTGGTCCCCTACTCTTTTACACATTCCCTCTTCTGCTTATACGGCATATCTCTACACTCCCCTCCTGGTTCCCTCCCCCTCCTCATAGTCTCTTCCCCTCCCCATCCCCCCTTTACTGTCATGTCGCACTCAGACTCAAATATAGAGCCTATATTGAGAAAAATAGGTTATTCCTTTTAAGTATGGTTTATTTCATTTAACTTGAAAGATTTCCAGGTGCATCCATTTTCTTGCAAGTGCCATAATTTCTTTTTCTTTTCTTTTTTTTTCTGCTTAATAAAATTCTTCTGCATCCATGCACCACATTTACTTAATCTGTCTGCTGATGGTCACCTAGGCTGTTTTCATTTTTGGCTACCATTAGTAGTGCATTAATCAGCATGGATGTGTAAGCATCTCTGTGGCACGCTGACTTACAGATCCAGGAGTAATGTAGCTGCATCATCTGGTAATTCTGGTTTGGGATTTATGAGGGGCCGCAACACCAGTGATTCTCAACCTGTAGGTCATGAGCACTTTGGAAGGTCAAACGACCCTTTCACAGGGGTCACATGTCAGATGTCCTGTGCATAGTAGATATTTATATTGCATTTTTAACAGTACCAAGGATTACAGTTATGAAATAGCAATGAAATAATTTTATGGTTATGGGTCACTGCAACATGAGGAACTGTATTAAAGGGTTGCAGCCTTAGGAAGGTTGAGAACCACTGAAGTACACTGTTTTCCATGTAGTTTATCTTCTCATCAGCATCCCTGTATCCTCACCAGCATCTATTATTTCTTCTTCTTCTTTTTTTTTTTAGTTTTTTTTTTATTATGTATGCAATATTCTGGCTGTGTATGTGCCTGCAGGCCAGAAGAGGGCACCAGGCCTCATTGCAGATGGTTGTGAGCCACCATGTGGTTGCTGGGAATTGAACTCAGGACATTTGGAAGAGCAGGCGTTGCTCTTAACCACTGAGCCATCTCTCCAGCCCCCTACATCTATTATTTCTTAATGACAACTCTTCTAATTGGGAGAGATGGAGTCTCAGTACAGTTTTAACTTGCGTTTCCTGGTGACTGAGAATGATAAACACTTCTTAGGTCTTTATTGGCCGCTTGTGTTTCTTAATACAGAACCGTCTATTCAACTCATTAGCCTTTTCTTGGTTTGTGATTTGGAGTGGGTTTTTTTCTGTTTATTTGTTTTAATTTTATCTCTGTCTTAGGTTTTAGAGGGTTGGTTTGTTTGAAAAGTATACTAATTAGCCTAGGTTAGCCTCCAGCCTATGAGGATGACTCTTGGTCCCTCTACTTTTTACCGTCCAAGTAAGTACTGGGACGGCAAGTATCACCAAGCCGTGGCCCATTTCTCTGATCCCTTCAGCAGTAGTTCAAGACCAGCACATTTGGAATCAAATTACACTGACAGGTTGTAGTCAGGAAGCTACTTAATATACACCAAGACACAAGTGGTGTGTGACATGCTGCCAGGCTCACTTTAAGCATGTAAAGTTGCAGGGCCAAAGATCTGCTTTTAGATGAAGGGTAACAGTTCAAGATAATGTATGTAAAGGAAGTAACTGTGGCTGAAAAGATACCTTAATAGTTAAAATACACTAATTTTAATGAAATGTATTATGTTAGAGAAGTTAGGTTTTTAAAATTAACTTTCAAATATGCATTGTTTCTTTAGTGAAGTGGTTGGTTCTGTTTTACTTACTTACAGGTGGTGTTTATCCAAAAATAAAATGTTTTCATTTGTAACAGATACACCAGAGAGGCAGGAGTCCGTTCTCTGGACAGAAAGTTTGGGGCCATTTGCCGGGCCGTTGCAGTGAAAGTTGCAGAAGGGCAGCATAAAGAAGCCAAGCTGGACCGCTCTGAGGTGGCTGATGGAGAAGGTTGGTGGCCTTGTTCTGGTATTTCCAGTCTGGCAGCTAAAAGTAGATGGCACTGTCAGTTGATCAAGGAGGGTGTCAGGTAGTCCTTGAAACAGTGGTGTCTAAGTGAGGATGGGATAACAAGGCTTGATGGCTTTCTCAAGGTGTTTTTTCAAAAAACAAAGAGTTAATTCCTCTTCAGTGTTCTTCAGTGTTCCTGTTTTAATATATAGTAACCTTCTCCAGATTGCTGTAATACACACTTCACATATGGCTTGCTGTTCTCTTCTTGGACCAGTGCAGGAAATTGTTAAAGTCTTTGTTATAAAGTTGTTAGAAGCCAAATGTGACGACACACACCTGTACTCCCAGCATTCCTGAGGCTGATGCAAGTTCAAAGCCATCCTGGTCTACATAGTAAGAACCTGTTTTTAAAAATGCCGATGATTATGGTACATTTGAAAAAAAAAACATAAGCTGTCCAAGTCCTTCAACGCCTATCTGTACACTAAAAGAGATCCGTGTGTTTTTCTTACACAGCTTCTTTTATCGGTACACAATTAAATGTAATATAAACTTTCCTCCAGTAATTCTAGAGGGGATGCTCTGGGAAGAGCTGTACTCTGTAGCTGTGCTGATGCACATGTTTCCTTTGCTCCCCAGGTGAAATGTGTGCCCTTCTTCTCCCTGAACTTTAAGAAGCTTAAGCTTCAGTTCATCACAGCCTGTTCTTACATAACTTCTCAAAACTTGCTTTTGTAAACATGACGTAGTAAGAAAGTAAAAATTGCTCCCTAGGAAGCAGATTTATTACAGTCCTACCATTTCCAGAACTCTTTCCAGAATGCAGTCATGTGACTGTGAGAGGGTTAACTGCTCTTTGTGGCAGTCATAGTAGACCAGACGCTTTTCCAGTGCATGGAAGAGTAGGTGCTCACATGACCCTCTTGGTTCTGTGTAGTTCACCTGCTCCCACTTTGCTGGAACCTCACTGGTTTATTTTTTTCTTGAGACTAAACTTCCACTTTAGCTGAATTGGAGCTATATATTTATGGTATAGGGGGTAAGAATATTGGAATCTAATTGTTTCTTATAAGGACAGCAGACTTCTGTTGTCCTTTGTATGGCTTGTGTCTCCCAAGTTCATATGTTGGAAACTTCACCTCCAATGGAACAAGTGTTCTAAGGTGTTCTAAGGTAGTGAGGAGCTAGGAAGCTAGTGATGTAGCCCAGTGTTGGTGTGTTTGCATAGGATCCACAAGCCCTGAGTTCTATCCTGATTAAGTCATGAGGGCTCTTCCCTATGACAGGATTAGTGTGTTATCTTGAGGGTGTGTATATTACATTTCACAGTAGTAGGTTCCTGGTGAATGGATGAGGTTGGATTTCCTTCACCTCTGTCTCTCAGGAGCTCTCCTGTCATGTGACTTTTTTGCCATGTTGCACATAGACCTTCCTTGATGTAGTTCTTTGCTTTTAGACTTCTCAGTCTCCAAAATTATGAGTCAAACACATTTGTATTCACTACTAATTCCATTCTCTGGGGCATTCTGTCATAGCAGTACAAAACAGGCTAGGTCAGTTCTCACAAAACTTTCAGGCATACCCCAAATTCCTGAGTCTTTTTAGGATTTCATGGCTCAGGTCAGTTTGTTGTTGATCACCCTGTCAAACGCTGTAGACACTAAGGTTTCTGCTTTCTCTAACTGGCTAAATTTCATTGTATTTCTGTTTGTTTACATTATGCTTCCAAAATTTTGTCAGCATCTCTTTATCAGCTTTCTTTGTTTCTCATCTTATTCTTAAGAGTTTTTACTTTTTCATTTTTCACTGTTTTAGTAGAAAGTTAGTAGAACTTGGTAGAGGAAATATAAAGATATTCAGATTACGCTTTAAAACCTGCCCTAACCTGTGAACAGAAAGACCATGCAGCGGCATGGAATGGCTCTTTCTTTGGTCTCTTTAGAACTGGGAGCTGGGCTCTTCCTGTGCTCCAGTGTGCTCAACCTTCGGCCATCTAAGCCTCTGTCTTTTTTTCTATCTGTAATAGAATAATAGCTGAAATGAAATGTGTTCATTTAACACATTCAGAAAATTATATTTAAGATTGAGCTGGTGTTTTTAGAATTTTCAATACATGCGTAGGTGTCAAATGGAATTTTCCATAGCTATAATGCAGTTTAATGTGTGTATGTATATATAATTTCTAATATTTGTGTCTATATTATATTTACAAATAGTCAGGAACTTGTTCAAAGAGCTTGTGAATTGTTTATGAACATACAATTTTAATGAGAATAGTCATTTGGGTTTTGTTGTGATTTTATTTTTTTACTTACAGGTCATCTTGTACCTGATCGTGTAGCTAGGCAAAACTGAGTAGCAAAGCTATATTACCTATAGTCTACATGCCTTCCTAATTAAGAAGACAGTTATTTTTCAGATACTTTTGTTGTAGTTCTTATCAGAGGCACAGACATGGCCCTAGGTGGTTCTGATATCGTGAAACACTGAGTTACTGTGAACGACTATCCTCTAGACTTAATAGATAATTGTAAGGAATATTGTAATTATAGCATATGTAGTATGTGATATAACTATAATAAATCATGTTTGTGACTTCAAAAAAAAATGAAAACAAAAGGAGCATTCCTACACAGGGTCTGCACGAGGTCTGCATGCCAGTGTTTGAGCAGAGCTTAGTCATTACGTGTTTGTTTTGTTAGAAAAAGATTTATTTAGAGTAGGAGTTATTTGCTTGAAACAGTTGTTTCAAAACTTTCAAGTAATTCAGTGGGTGAGTTATTATTTCTAATGTTAGAAATAATGATGGACTCAGAGTTACTGCCAGAAAGAAAAGTAACTTTAAACCACGAGCTTCAAATCCGGCAGAAACTGCCAGAGTTTTAACTGGTTTTCCAGAGCGGACCCAGCATCTTGGTCTGTGAATGGTGTCTCTGTGTTTGTGGGATTGTTTTGACAATTCAACTGGCCACAGAGCAATGGGGATTGGAGAAGCCAGATGAGGGATATAGTTGATTAGTGTCAGAAGAGGAATAGCGATGCTTCAGTTAGCTGTAAAGCAAGGCCTTTCATAAAAGTATTGATTCCTGTTTTTCTACATGGTATTAGGACATTCCAAATTTATTTTTTTTCCTTCCTGGAGTGTTAGTTGGGTTGAAGAAAAAAGCACATGACTAAAGTTTTATTCTGATATTTGCCTGTCTTTTGCTAAGACAAATATTCTGTTTTCAATATCACATACTTAGGTCTTACTCTGCAGAGTTAGACCAGTGTCTGCCTATTTGGTTCCTTACGTTTCATGTGTGCTCAATGACATAAGCACCTTGTGAGCGTTTTTCTCAGAAACTAACCTTAGCAGAGAAACTGTCCATTTTGATGGTGATTCGATTCATAAACCTCTTTTTTCATGTTCTCCAGTAACACTTTGTCTTGGCCTTCAGATTCTGGGAACAGACACATATCAGACATGTGGCCAAGTGTCCTGTTGTCGGGTTTTCTGTCCTGCCTGTTTCTGTCCTCCCACCAGGTCCCACAGCCATTTAGCCCCAAAGAAATCACACAGAGAGTCTACATTTGTTATAAACTGATTGGCCCATTAGCTCAGGCTTCTTATTAACTCTTATAACTTATATTAGCCCTTTATTCTAGTATATGTTAGCCACATGGCTCGGTACCTTTTTCAGTGGGGCAGGTCACATCTTCCGTCTTCCGTGTCTGGGCAGGACTGCAGAGGGAGCTTCCCTCTTCCCAGAATTCCCCTATTCTCATTGTCCCGCCTCTACTTCCTGTCTGGTTGTCCTGCCTATACTTCCTGCCTGGCTTCTGGCTAATCAGCATTTATTTAAAACATAACTGACAGAATACAGAATTGTCCCACAGTGTCCATTTGTTTGCAATTCTGGGGGTTGGACGAAGAGCCTGGCACATGCTAGCACCTTGTTTTCTTTTTACTTTTCCATTTTTTGTTCGTTTGTTTGTTTTTAGACAAGGTCTTATTAAGTTGCTTAGACTGTCCTTGAACCTGCAATTCTCCTGCCTCAGCCTCTTGAGGCACTAGAATTTTAGGCTTGCACCACCAGGTCTGATAGATATTATTTATGTTTATTCATCTAGGATTTCCCAACTTTTGTAATGTGTGAACTAATTTCTTTCATCAGTTTTAGAAAATTTATGACAATTGTTTTTTCACATAATTGATATTTTTCCTTCTCCATTGGGACTCTAAGAAAAAAACCATACTCTCTTAACCCCCTTTTTCCCATTAATTTAGTTCTTATATTCAGTTTGTACATTTTTGTTGCCCTCTATTTTCATAAATTGTTCTTTTTGCTTTTTAAATGGTCATTTAATTATAAATGTGTATATATACATATATATTTATCCCAATGGAATGTTTGTTTGATTATCTATGTGTACATATTTATATTATTCACCCAATGTATTCTTAGTTGGAATTGTCTTTTCATCTCTCTCTCTTTTGGTTTCTCAAGACAAGGTTTCTCTGTGTAGTTCTGACTGTCCTAGAACTTGCTCTGTAGACCTGACTGACGTTGAACTCAGAGATCTTCCTGCCTCTACCTCCTGAGTACTGGGATCAAAGGTGTGCGCCACCACCACCCAGCTGCTTTTCTTCTTTGATCCATTTTCCTTGCTTTCTTGGGTTTGGGGGGTACCTTTGATCAATCTGTCATCTGATCCAGCTGTTAGTCTGTCTGTATCACCTGCCTGTTATGACTGCTGCTGCTGTTGGGTGGGTATATTTATTGTCTTCTATTTCTGTTTTGTTTTACTTTATTTTTTGTTTTCTGTCAGTCCAGAGCTACAGGTTGAACCTAGGATCTCACATTCTACCTCTGAGTTCTGTCTCCAGACACATTTCTTGTTTTTCTCCTCCTTATCCTTCTATAAGGTATCCTGTTTCTTAGTATTCATTTTTTGTTTGTTTTCTTCCTTCCTTATAATTCAAAATATAAAGACTGTAGCAATCATTGTCCTCT